ACAGTAATCCAACTTGTCTCAGAGATAATCCTCTGCCTAGTGAATTAACAGATTTACAGCATATTCTTTCCATTCCTTCCTCCCATTTTCAAAAGACTCTGGCTGTCCAAGGTCCTGCATCTACTAATGCTGTACACAGCACAGTTTCTATTGCATTCAGTATCTCTCTCAGCCTTTACTTGGTCTGCAGGATTTGACTTTATGATTACAGCCCTATTCAGTTCATAAGACTCTCAACTACAATAAGCATTTCAGGTGAGAAAGGAGTTCTTAACTTGTCCCTAAACCCTACTGTTTTCAGCAAATGGAGCAAGCATTATCCAATTATATCTGTACTATGTGGGCTAAATTTGGAACATTGGTGTCCAACTTTGACTTGCAAAATATTTAATGTGCAAACAGATAATGTTGTGCACAAAACATAAACATATTGTCCGTCACAACATGGAGGGATGTCGTAGCTGCATATGTAAGACTTGGTAGGTAAGGAGGTTGGAAGGCTCCAAATTCTAGCCATGTTATACTTTTCTTCAATGCAACCACTGCTTCTGAACAACATGTGAGCCAAGTGTGGTTCTCTACCCAAACAGGATGATATTGATTACCTTGATTATCTCTTGGAGGAAATAACTGGCAAGGACATCCCTTGATGTGGCTTCACCTTAAACCCTGAGCCATTAATCATTTTATGGCAGCCTGAGAAGCCACTAGATCTGCATGCAATAGTACAACTAAAAGCCTCGTGAAAATGCATACATTCACATATGATTTTAATGCAAATTGTAAAGATCCCACTAACCAAGTCCCTCAATTACCCCCCGTCAAATTGATAATGCCTCCTGCCATTCTGTCATTTGTCCCCTTTCACTTCATCCCTCTCCAAGTCAGTGTTTCCTTTCTCATCAATTCTTTCTTTCAGTGTGTTAGAGAGTTGGGGGAATGTGGGAAACTATTTCCCCTCCATCAGCCCTTCACTTCTCCATCTATCCCCTCCACCATCCTTCCAGTCCCCCAATTATCCTCCTACCTTCCTCTCATGCAGACTAAGCAGTGCTCTGCTCAGAAGTGATAAAATGACTGCCTCACCCAAACACTCTCTCCCCCGGCTTAGATATCAGTGCTCTCTGCACTGGACTCCTCCTGCAGTCCCTTTGTGAGAGATCTCATCGGGGGAGGGGGGAGGGAAGAGAAGGAGTGGGTTGTGAGCCCATTACAGTGGTTAGCTGCTTGATTGGCTACACAGGAGAAAATGGATGCAGCAGAGACAACCAGAAAAAATCAAAAGGATGATTAGAAAGTTTGAGTGTCCAACTAAAAATGGCCATTTGAAACAGGCTGGGTTTCTCCTAGGCAGGCTTTACAATGAAACCTGTCTTAAAAAGAGGCACCCGATGGCACCTGTTCATGAAAAGGAGCTGAGGCAGGAAGCAGACTTGCTTGGCTATCTATCAGAAACAGCCATAATCTACTGGAGTGCTCTTCTGAGAACAGTTGCCTCATTATAAAAAAAAACAACAACACTGTGTTAAATGTTCCTGTCCTCTCCTTTTTTAAAGTGGGTATACATCAGGCATGTGAAACTCTCTCTAAAGGCAAATTTCTAGTCACTCAGAAATAACTAAAATTTGGGGTTTGTAATTAAAGCACCATCTTCAAATTGAACTATAGTGCAATTATATGTTCCATGTTCATAGTAGGAGAATTATTACTTAATCTACCTGCCTACTGCCAAGGATCTCTCAGTTTGTGATAAGGCTGGGATAGTGTCCTGCAGACAATATGAGGACTATCTTCTTGATTATGCTAAAGTAAAATTGACCCTTTTTTCCCCCCACATCACAAAAATATTAAGATATAGTTGAGATGACAACCATTCTGTTGCTGCATGACAGACAAAAAAAAGTCTAGTTATACATTCAGGGCAACTATATGAGCCATACCAATAGCAATTTTTGTTTCCATGTATTCTTCCTATTTCTTCCTCAAACTCTTAATGCATTATCTGTTAATTATTCCCACAAAGTCCATATGTAGTCTTCACATTTTCAGTACAAAATGTGTTGATATATTAAAAGTTTTAGGTAAACAATTTAAAAAAATTATCATCAGTTCAAAGCCTTTGTACAATCAGGTAGAATCAGAAGATAAATATTGAATAATATTTACTAATCTAGCAATGCAATAGCCTAACTAGAGAGGGAAGTTTAAAAAAAAAAAAAGTAAAATGGAATGTGGAGAAAAAAATTCTAAGTTTCTTTGAAGGCATTGCACAATTTTTCAAGGTTGCCATTTGACACTTCTTTCCCCCTTAATTTTGCAAACCGTCTTAGAGTTTAAAGCAGTTGCTAAGATAAGCAAGGCCCTGAAAACAAAAACAGAGATAAGCAGTGCATAGTTTGTAACAGCTAGGATTTTCTGGTTTAAATGTTGGCTACAGTAAAAGAAAAGCAAATTAAATTGCAATTATGTATTTAACAAAAGACGATCCAATATACTGAGGCTTACAATAGTATCTATCAAAATTCTTGCAAAAAGCTCTCCATCGACAGCAGCTGAGCCCCATTCAGCCAAAAAACAGATGAGCTCTTCGAATAGCTTTCAACTGAAAACAGGAGTCACATTCTCACCCAGTTATACCCAACTCCACATCTCTTGAAACTAGTGGACCAAATTCAATGCTGAGTAAAATTAACCTACTGAATAACACAGCTCCTGAACTGAAAGTCATTAAAAAATTAAGTCTCTATATCTCATGGTTACAGAGAAAAACGTTCAGAACACGAACCAACCAGAAACTGATGGATTAAAGTTGAAACTGAATCTTCAGAGTGTCTTAAACAATATTCCAAAAGATCTGACCTGCTTCATTTGTCTTAATGGATTGTTAATGCTAAAGTCTGATGACAATTTAAGACCAGAGTAAATGTTTTACTGCTGATCATTTTAGCCAAAACATGCTTACCATTGTTCCTGGATGTAATTGGAGATCTTGAGGTGGGATGTCCAGTAGGATGGAGAATAACAAATTCAAATCCCATTATCCTTCGCACCTTAAGTTTTCTGCCATCTCTGTCCCTTCATAAAAGAACAGCCATACTGAGTCAGATCCATGGTGTATCTAGCCCAGTATGCTGTCTTTTGACAGTGGGCCAATCCCAGGTGCTTCAGAGGGAATCATTACAACAGGCAAACAAGTGATACATCCTCTGGTACTGACTCCCAACTTCTGGCAAATAGAGGGTAGGAACATGGTCCTTGGCCAGCCCGAATAGCAGCAATTGATAGAACTATCCTCCATGAACTTTTCCAGTTGTTTTTTGAACCATGTTCTAGCTTTGGCGTTCATAACATCCCCTGGCAACAGTTCCACAGGTTGACTGTGCATTGAGTGAAGTACTTCCTTTTGTTTTAAACCTGCTACCTATTAATTTCATTGGGTGACCCCTAGTTCTTGTGTTATGAGGAGTAAATAAGACTTCCTTATTTACTTTCTCCATATCAGTCTTGATTTTATAGACCTCTGTCTTCTACCTCTCCCCACCTCTCAGTCATCTCTTTTCCAATCTGAGAAGAAAGGAGGGAGGGAAAGAGGAAATGTTTTTCCTCCCGAGTATCCCCCCACCCTCAAAAACAAACCTGATCTTTCTGGGCACCAAAAGACTTAGCCGACACTTAGTCCGCTATGAAATCTTCCTGTGCTCCTCAGCTTCTCAAACTCAGTTACTGGTCAGCCATACAGGATTTGCAGCACACTGAATCTGAGGCAATGAAAACTAAATTGAATCCAATATTAAAGTAAATACATGGCAGGGTCATACACGGCCTGGAGCGACACACTGAATGATTAGGATAAAAATAAATATTGAATGACTTCTCATTCAGTGAGCACCATATGCAGGAGTGCTGTGGGGAAAACACAGTGTGGGATCATGTAATTAAAGGTGGCATAATGCATACACACAAGTGGGAGGCAAATTAAAGTTGCACAGACAAACAAATATGACAGCTTTTGAGTGCTTGACTTTGCAGCTTTAACATTCTTTTTATTTTTTATTTTTTTGTAAATTATACACAAATAATACTGTACTAATTGGGCTGGATTGGTATTGTGTGAGGAGGTGCCTGGTGCCACATGCTTTTTGGGATCTCCCAGGCTGTATAAAAACAGGGCCAAGTCCTTTTGACGTCACACTCAAAGGCTACACTAATATTTGTGAGATTCCTCTATCTACAAAGAGGGTACTAAACTAAATAAGAACACACATGCAGGACTAATCAATGAACAGTCATGCAAGGTACTAAGATACAGTACCTGTTACAGAAGTCTAGACCAATCCAAATCTTTAAGTGGAAGATTTAATCAAGTCGAGTTCTGGCTTAAGCCTTTCTAGCCCCCACAGAAGAGCTTACTAACTCACTATTTGGGTGGGGGGAAAGAAGGGAGGGGAATATGGCCAAGTTTTGAGCTAAATACTAACTCCCCTTCATCCCACCTAATATTGTTTTGGTCTATTCCTTTAGGTAAGCAGTGGAATTCTACTGTTTAAAGTGTCATGCCTAACAGAACACCAAGTAAGTTATTTTGGGACATGTTTTAAATTAGACCATTTTCCACAGGTAAGTGAAAATTTAAAAAACAAGAAACTTCTCTAGTATCCCACTAAGCATTTTTCTTTTCCAGTGGAGCAGAGAGAGAAATAAAAATGCCTTAAGGTTCATGTGCAACATGATTAAAGTCTCCCTAAGTACTGCAACTTTCTTTCCAGATTCCACATGTTGAAGATAGGAAGCATCAGAACAAAACCAATAGGAGCTAATCTGCTTCCGATGACACAAACAGCAAACTTCCCACTGATTTCAATAGAGCAAAAGTAGGCCCTAAAAAAAAAAAAAAAACCTAGGCCCTAAAACATTCAGGCACCTTAAATGTAATAGTTAATAAAAATACAAAGTGTTACCAAAATATTTACTTCTTTAAATAAAAAAAAAGGTGTGAGATGTCTGTCTAGAATATATTCATTTATTATTCTGTGGTCCATATCAATTTAAAGACATAATTAATTGAATTTCTACATCATTTTCTCAATTTCAACCCTTCCTGGCTTCATATTAGCCAGTCTACAAAGGTACATCTTTCCCCATACAGTCAATATTTATGAAAAGCCGTATACCAATCTATTAGCTTAGAAAAATAACATGCTGGGGAAATTAGAGCCATGAAACTGATACAAAAGTTAGATAACACAGTAAAACACCCTTTAGTAACTTATGGCTTTGCACAGTATCAGGTATCAATATGAACAATTTAAGACAATTTTGTTAAAGGCACTTAAGAGTTCTTTAAATACTTTTTTGAATTTAGTTCTGTTGCATTAAAAAGTTATATGTCTGAAGACATTTTCATAACAGTGGAACAGTCTAAAAAGGCAGTTTTAAAGGAGAGAAAGTTTACTTTTTTTTAAATGTTAAAATATGAAAATATCAAGAATACATACAAGATTTAGAATGGGTATTGGTCCTTATAAAACAGGCAACAATGTTCAGGCAAAAGTGATCACTTTTTTTAAAGATACAAATAGTCTCAAAATGTAAGTCCAGTTCCAGTATGTGGCTGTATCATGTAGAATACCCTAAGACTGCCAATAAAAATATACCTTTATAACTAACCAGAGCTCCATTTTGTCTGTGGAAGGAAAAGGGTCTCAAACCAGCTTTATAAAGGCATGTGCTAGAGGGTCTATAATTCTGTGTCCCTGTATCTGGATGGCTGTCCATAATATCCACGCTTGGAGTGGTCTGATAGCTGCCGACGATAGTCTTCCTCCTCTGCATCACTGCCATAACTTCCTCGATTTTCTAGGTAAGGCCTGGCAGGTGGCTTCTGAGGCTCTGGAGGTCTAGAACTAGCACAGCAAAAAGCAAGACAGAGCAAAGATGTCAGAACAATTTCTGTTCCCCCCAACCTCTGTTATTCCACTGTGTTATTTTCTATACCGGCTACATGATGTCCTTCTATCTTGCCTTCATGCTGCTTCACAACTTCGAACAGCCTCCTGCTCCCAAGCACCTTTCTCCTCTTTGCCTGAAGGCTTCTTGTATTGATCTCCTCACTAAAGAAGTCTCCACTCCTCCACAGGCTTCACAAACATTTCTAAGAGGGTTGGGGTTTTTTGTTTTTAATTTTTAAGTGGTTTGAAAAAAGTTGTGTAGGTTATGGAGCTAATTGTTTATACAGACTATAAACAGTACATGTAATCATTCTTTACATAGGAAAGGAAGGGGATTTCACTGATTTTCAGCAGTCTGTCATTCTAAACTCCATACTGAGCACTAGCAAGAGGGAGCATTTTTTCCCCACATTATTCTGTCATTCAGGATCTTAAAAGAAAGCAACAATATCATTTAATAGTGTTGTGTTAGCCAATATAATTAAGAACATACATTCTAAACTGTCAGTTGCTTATTTCTTTTATCTTCATGCTTGGCTACATTAAATATTTTGCTCCTCCTTAAAACCACCTCCACAGATGCCATAAGCTTGCAATTCCTGCAGCTTTGCAATAATAAGCTCTTCAAGGAAATCCTGCAATGACTGTTTTTGGGCCTTCCCAATTTGATTATACTTTAATCTACCAAAGGAGCAGACTGAAAACAACCAAACAAAATAAAAAAACCAAAGCCAAGCCACCTTCCTCACAACTCCTTAGGTTTTCCGCATCCCCCCAAAAAGTTACAAATGAAAGAATGAGAGAACTTCAGTGAACTTTGGCTCAAAACTGTCAGGGGAGTCAACATCCTGGACAGGGGGCAAGAGGACAGCTCCATGCTCCCAGAAGGGGCAGAGCCTCAGGTGGAAGGGGCAGGGATGGGGGCATCCAGCTCTCAGCCCCGCCCAGAGTATGTCATGCCACACCCCCTCCCACTCCCCCCTTAGAGCTACTTTGAGCATGCCATGTGACACTCCAGAGGAGATTTAAAGGGCCCGGGCTGCCAGTGCTGCAGCAACCAGGAGCCCCAGGCCCTTTAGAATTGCCAGGCCTGGGGCAATTGTCTCTTTAGCCCCTTCCTTCCTCCCCCATCAGCAGATCTGAGGCTCAAGGTTCTACTTCTGTCTCAGTACTGACTGTCTTCCCTTGTATGAGTAACGTAACCCCAATTTCCCCAACCCATAAAATGCATGGTTGTAATAGACTGTGCAAAATCAATCTTTACCACCCCCTACTGACATCAAGTACTGCTTTATAGCCCAAGAAGTTCCACTGAAATCTGTGAAATTTGTCAAATCACTTTCCAACACTGATTAATGTCTAGCACTGCAACAATCCAATCTCTGACAAATAAGGGACAGCCCCGAAGAGCTGAAGTACAAGTGATCTCTAATTATGAGACTCAAAGTGAACTGGCACCCTAAATCTTTTAGTAATATGGGATACCTGTGTAATTCTCTCCGAGGAATTCAAGCACACTAGTACTATGAAGCAGTCTGAAAAAAAGATAAAAAGGCAAAGACCCTGAAAGGAAGGCCTTTCTACTGTCATGACAGATGAGCCCTTCAGCATCTCATCTTTGATACTCTGTGAATTTCAGGAATCTTCGGTAGAGCACTGTACAGAGTCAGGGCTTGATGAGCTGCATAATCAGGTTGCTCTTGCTGATGTAGTAAACACAAACCAGAAGAGTACTTTCAAGTGCATTTGTCTTACCTCATGGGCTGGGGCCAGTTCTGGTCTGGCTTCCGTGTTTTGATTGGGACAGCATAAATATCTGGGTGTTTCTGGGCTATTTCCAGCTTTAAAAAGAGCAGAAGAAAAAAAGATATCTTTCGGTTTATACGTCAGGAGATCTTAAACTGAGCAATGTAGCTCAGTTTCTCTTTAAAGGAATTAAAATATAAATGGATGACAAATCTTAGATTTTAATTTCAAGTAAAATATTATACTGCCAAAGTAATAAACAGTAAAAAACCCAAACAAACCCAAAGCCATTAACTTTCCATAGCTACTATAGAAAACCTTTACACAGAACATATTCTATATCTATATCCCTCTTAGATTTTCCTCCCCCCTACATTTTCCTCCAAAACTACAACTCTCCCTCTCATATATATGAATGAATAATGATGTTGAGAGCAATTTAGATTACAGGCAGTCCCCGACTTATGTCGGATCTGCACTTACGAACGGGGCTCTCTCGCCCCGGAGCTCACAGGCAGCGTCCGCCACCTCGACCTCCGGGGCGAGAAAAGCTGCTCCCGGAGCCCCTGGTCTGCTGGGGACCATCTCCAGCAGACCAGGGGCACCGGGAGCAAAGCCCCCTCCTATGCCCCAAGCACCAAAGCCATTATTCCCCTCCCACACTCCGAACCCCTCGGGCCCACAAATCATCCAGGGGCAGAGTGAATTTTGTTATGTGTATCAATATGGAGATGATGTGTGATGTATCACCTCTATCTTGGTGCATATCTTACATCATCTCCATATAGATACACATAACAAAATTCATTCTGAACATGGACATAAAAATTAGAGGGAACACTGGTAGTAACCTACTTTTTCAGTCTGTCCTGTATACACGTATTCAGTCCTGTAAGTACATTCACTCAGCAATGTAAAATCTAATTAAAAACAAATACAGTAGCATATTTCTCCCTCTTCTTCCAACCTTCCACTGTATCGACCAACAGTCAGCATACACATTAGTACAGGCAGTCCCCGAGTTACGTACAAGATAGGGACTGTAGGTTTGTTCTTAAGTTGAATCTGTATGTAAGTCAGAACCGGCAGTCAGTTTCAGCAGCGGCTGAATCTGGACGCCAGTTCCGACTTACATACAGATTCAACTTAAGAACAAACCTACAGTCCCTATCTTGTACGTAACTCGGGGACTGCCTGTACTAATGTGTATGCTGACTGTTGGTCGATACAGTGGAAGGTTGGAAGAAGAGGGAGAAATATGCTACTGTATTTGTTTTTAATTAGATTTTACATTGCTGAGTGAATGTACTTACAGGACTGAATACGTGTATACAGGACAGACTGAAAAAGTAGGTTACTACCAGTGTTCCCTCTAATTTTTATGTCCATGTTCAGAATGAATTTTGTTATGTGTATCTATATGGAGATGATGTAAGATATGCACCAAGATAGAGGTGATACATCACACATCATCTCCATATTGATACACATAACAAAATTCACTCTGCCCCTGGATGATTTGTGGGCCCGAGGGGTTCGGAGTGTGGGAGGGGAATAATGGCTTTGGTGCTTGGGGCATAGGAGGGGGCTTCAGGCTAGTGCCAAGGGGTTTCAAGTGTGGGAGTGCAGAGACTGGGCAGGAGAGGGCTCAAGGCTGGGGTGTGGGTTGAGGTGCAGGGTCTGGGAGAGAGTTAGGGACTCAGGGCCTGGGCCAGAGGTTGAAGTGTGGGGTGCTTACCTGGGACAGCTCCCATTTGGTGGTGGTGGGGAACAGGTGGCTCAGCACAGTCAATACTGCCCTGTGCTCCCATGGGCCACAATTCCCAGCCAATGAGAGCTGCAGGGGTGGAGCTCCCCAGCTGAGGAAGCTTCCCAGTGTTCAAGGCAAGGTGGCGCTAGCACAGAGCTGCTCCTTCCCTCTCCCCCACCAGGAAGGGTGGCCCAAAATACAGGGGTTTTAGTGGCTGCTGCTCCTTTCTTAAATCAGCCCTGCTGCTGTGGCCAGAGGAGCATGCCTCTCCCTAGGCCACTGCAGCTTCCTGCTGGGGTCAGAAGAGCGTGCCTCTCCCCAAACCCCGTGCAGCAGCTGTATGTGCAACAGCCCTGGGCCCCTGCATGGGGCTAATTAGGCAGCTGCGCATGTTAGAGGGAACCTTGGTTACTACCTACCCTGGCATTCTGTGCCTCTTGTAGTTCCTGTATTCTTTGCAGTCTTGCCTTGTGATCCATCTTCTCAAATATTTTAACTTTCCCCAGTACAGATTTTGGAGCACCGTCTTGTCCAGCTGCATCTTCCTCTGGATTTTCCTCTTCCTCTGTGGCTAGGACTGCTGGCTGAGATGTCTTCAGTATAGGACGTCCAAAGGCAGGTTTCACAGAAATAGGAGGAGGTGCTGCCCTGGATGAAGTCTCATTGCTGACAATGTTAGAGCTATTTGTTTTGGGTTCATAGTTCTTGGGAAAGTCATATACATCTTCTTTGTTTTGTACTTTACCCTGTAGATATTAAGAACACACTGAAGTTTACAAATAGCAGCATCTTTATAGGAGTATTTTCATTTGACATTGGTTATATTGCTTGTGCATTTTTGTATTGCCCATCTTTGTACTGCCCATGAATCAGAGCACTGAGTATTTAAGTATATAGAAGCTGGGCCATTGACTTAAATAGGGACAGAACGAGTCACATCACGTTTTACATTATTCTGGAAAGAAAAGAGAAAGAACAAGAAGAATTAGAGCAAGAGGTTTTTCTGGATTATTTGGAGAGAATATTCTTCCAACCCAAGACTGTTACACAGGACACATACCTATTCTCTCTGCAATCAGCATTTCATTTACACGTACTGCAACCCAGCCCAACCACTATTGCCTAGGCACATTTGAAAGGATGATTGTTTAACTGTCTAGTCAGTGTATTTTGTGCAACACAGACCAATGCTAGTGCCCACCTCTATGGAGAGAGCCAGAGGGCTGCAACACCCATTTTTAAGATGCTATTGGAGCACAGGTCAGCACTACTACTTAAAAAGTAATAATAATAATAATAAAAAAACAAAAGAGAATTTCCTAACAGGCTGCTGCAATTCTTAACCAGCTCCCAGAGCTTATTAAATTCTAGAAGGAGGAATGACTTATGGAATGTCTAAACTTTTCTCCAACAGAGATATTCAGGAAGAACTTTGTTTTGAGCTTGGAAACGGAGCGAGAGTGCCAGAATTCCCATGGGGAAGAGTTCAGGAGAGAAATAAGTAGTTTTCCAGTTAGCCACACTGTCACCAAACCCTCTAATGAAACACGTGGTACCATTTCTAAATCTCAAAAATTCCCTTCCCAATGAGCCACCAAGCTCTTCCAACAGTTCACAGTCCTCTTTGTCAACTTCCCTTCTTTCTTACGCCCAAACTGCATTTTAACTGTCACCCTACTAGAAGAAACATAGCCCATGATGTACAGCACCAGATGGGTTCTTTAGAAAGAGGAGCTCTATCTTCAAACTGTTTTCCACATATTACCTTAGGTGGCTCGGGCTTGAATGCTGGAGGTGGGCTGGGATCTCTAAGTATCTCTCTGCTACCAGCCCTTCTCATTTGAGCTTTTGGTTCTGGGCTGGCTTTTCTTATACTCTATGAAAATATAAGAAGTTAACCACAAGAATATGCACCGGTCGTACAACTGACAGGTACTTTTTTCCCCTCTTCTCCCCTCCCCCCCCTATAAATGCTGGGTTTCTGTTATTCCTCTCCAGCTCATCTGATGAAGTGGGTTTTGCCCACAAAAGCTCATGATACTTATATATTTGTTAGTCTCTAAGGTGCCGCAGGACTTACTCATTTTTAAGACTAACATAGCTACCCCGCTAAGAATATTCATGTAATTCTGGGCCAGTTATCACTGGTCACGTGATTGGCAATGACAAGACCACTATCACTGTGAAACTTAACATCTGCACTTTAGGTGACACTATCAATGAAACTAGAGAGTTAGACAAGGCAGCATAACTTTTATGCTAGAATTACTATACCTTTATAATTCTGTATCATAGCTACCAATGCTGCAGTTGGAATCACATATTTTCTTAGGCACCAATTACAAGAGACATTTTCTATTACTACATTACAACACACATGACTTTCAGGAAGCCACTCTTGATAACAGTTACCTCCTCTTGGTATACAGGCTCAGAAGACCGGCTAATAGAGGAAACATTTGGTTCATCTGCTGGCTCATCAAGCTCATTGTCCGTGTATGCACCTCCTTCCCCATCTGTGTCTTCCAAGTCACTGATCAAGCGGCTGTCACAGCTCAGGTAGTCAGCACCCATAGCTGTTAGATATGACATGCGATCGTCCATGTCATCATCTCCTCCTTCTAACTATAAGAGTGGAAGGATTAGGTTTGACTTATTCCCCATTTTAGTCTGCAGTAACATTTATGGTACACAACATACAAAAACCAGAAGCACATGAAACTGCCCTCTCAGGAACATGAAAACACCAATAAAAAGTTAATATGCGTGCCCTATTAGCAGCTATATGCCTTGGTTTTAATAAGAGGAGCAACATGTTATTTTTTAAAAGGGTGAACATTTTTCCAGTACTTTTTTCAGTGGCACATCCACTATGAACTGTTTGACCACATACCTTTCCTTCTGAAACCCATACTGCTTCAACTTGCTGTTGCTGAATTGTATCTTTGAGACTGCCATACCAGCTATCATTGGCTGAATTCAAGTTGATGGTAGCTGTAGACATTTAAAAAATATATATATGCATTACTATTTTCATATTTTTTTTTCTATTCATTCAAAGTCCTCAGTGCACCTACTTTATCCAGTCTTTTCCATATGACAAGGTTTTGGGTGATGCAAGAAAATTATATGATCATTTTTACTAGATCACTTTCTGAAGGACAGTGTTTACACTTTTGTTGACTTGGATGGAAGGAATGTATGAATAAATACCAGCCCTTGCATTAACTTTTTTTCCAGGAATAGTTTTATTACAGTAGTAAAGTTCAATTTGAACATTTCTTTATAATGAAATACATCAAGACTGTGAACTTCTAATTGTCTAATAAGGATTTTACATAAACAAAGGTTACAGTATAGATGATTTCTTATTCAGAACAATATTAATTTAGTTGCTCAAATACACACACTCTTCCTCCTACATCCACCACTCTACTGGAAGAATTAGAAACAGATTCTTGCTTACCTGTAAAAAAATGGGAGCTAGTTTTCTTCAGCTTATTTGCTTGATCATAAAGCTTTCGGGAACTCTTGTTAGATGTAGGACTTAGCCTTTGTCTCATAGTTTTCACTCCCTGTTTACTGTCTGGGTTGAAGAAGACTACAATTGGGAACCACTGGGTATAGTTCAACATATCCACTGCTTTCGGAGTCACATCCAACAAAGCATGTTTATTCTGTTAACAAGAAGAGGATATGAAGAAAATGGAAAACCTGCTGGAGAGATAGTGCAGATGGTCTGAAATTATTAGAAGTATTCAAGTTGTAGAGACTATAAATTTGAATACAGAACCAGAACGTTGTCTGGTGAAGAGCCTTTTTTAGCTTCAAGGCCCAGGTCAGCCCAGTAGTTGGTAAACAAAAGTGCTGGTAAACAAAAGGGCAATTCAGCACACCAGAGAAATATGATTACCAATGGCTGAAAGCTGAAGCTAGATAAAGACATACATATTTAACAGAGTAATTAGCCATTGGAACAATTTACCAAGAGTCATGGTAGATTCTTCATCTCTGACCATTTTTAAAATCAAGATTAGAAAAACATCCAAAAGACCAGCGCTAGGAATATTTTGTGGAAGTTCCGTGGCCTGCACTACACAGGTGGTCAGTCTGGATAAGCAGAGTGATCCCTTCTGGCCTCCTTGACTCAGATACAAACATACTAACTCTGACATTGTGCACACCTGTTTGACTCTGCTTCCTCTTTCTCTACAGTATTCCCTTCACTCTTTCAGTATCTTCCTTTTATTTGCATATACATTTTCTTATTCCCATCCTCCCCATCTCTTTATTTTGCCCTTGCACACTCATCGTCTTCCCTCACCGCAATTCTTTCCCCCGTCTTTGTTCTGCTACTCATGTTGAGTGAGTATGCAGTACACAGAGCTTACATTTTCTGCTGGTTACTGCCTCCTACCTATACTACCAAAACTTAAAGCAAATATCCTCTGTATGGACCTCATCCCATACGAACTATATTCTGGGAAAGCTTCTGCTGTGAAATCCACTTAAGTCAAGGGGAGTTTTGAATACATACCAGCCCTTGAATTATTATTTTTTTCAGGTACATAAGAACAGCCATACTGGGTCAGATCAAAGGTCCATCCAGCCCAGTATCCTGTCTGCCGACAGTGGCCAATGCCAGGTGCTCCAGAGGGAGTGAATCGAACAGGTAATGATCAAGCGATCTCTCTCCTGCCATCCATCTCCACCTTCTGACAAACAGAAGCTAGGGACACCATTCCTTACCCATACTGGCTAATAGCCAGGGCTTGCCAAACCACGGCGAGCCCCGCTCACCAGCCGCACTGTCTGGCTGAACCCAGCTCTTCGGGGTTAAAATCTACTCGCCACAGACGAGTAGATTGTATTATTTGTGGAGCGCTGCTAATAGCCATCAATGGACTTAACCTCCATGAATTTATCTAGTTCTCTTTTAAACCCTGTTATAGTCCTAGCCTTCACAACCTCCTCAGGCAAGGAGTTCCACAGATTGACTATGCGCTGTGTGAAGAATAACTTCCTTTTATTTGTTTTAAAATAAAATAGTTTTATTACAGTAGTAAAGTTAAAAATGAACATTTCTTTATCATGAAATACATCAAGACGGTGAACTCCTAATCGTCTAATAAGGATTTTACATGAACAAAGGTTACAGTAAAGATGATTTCTTATTCAGAACAATATTAATTTAGTTGCTCAAATACACACACTCTTCCTCCTACATCCACCACTCTACTGGAAGAATTAGCCATTAACTTCAGTGGGGTCATAATTTCATCCCAGCACCTATTATTTCTTTTACCTACGGGGGTCTCTCTCCCTCAGGCATCCTGGTTGCCATCCCTGGACTCTTGAGCTCCCATGATAATATTTAAAAGTCAGCATTTGCTGACGTTACACACACTTCTACCTATTTCCCATTTCAAGTATGTAGGCAGTAACTGTTGTCAAATATCGACTTTTTAATGACTACAACTGGAGCTGAGGATGAAGGTAAGGGTGACCCTGGAAATAATAGGATCTCTCTCTCTCTCACAAAGATATAAGTGTGGTGCAGGCAGGTATATCCTCTCTTAGCTTTAATCCAGCTGGCATGACTAACGGTGACAAACATGTGGCAGCACAGACTTTAGCCTGTACTATCAACTACTGTATATAACCAGAGCCCTCAGCAGGTTTATAGTGGGGCAATCACATCTTCATTACTCTTACTGCACATTCTAGCTAGCTTAAAGCTAGCATGAACATGCTTACCTGCTCTACAATTACACCTTCACTCATAGTGCACACCTACCCATAGATATAGTACATCCAGGGTGCCATTCTGGAACATTCCAGCTCTACTCAAGCACTGGATTCTGGTGTAGTTTAAATTTAGGCAAGTCCATAATAGATTTTTTTAAAAATTTGAACATTTTAATTGGATTAATACGGGGCCAAATTCAGGGCTAACATAAGTGGGTCGGTCTCGGTCTCTCGGTCTCTAAATTTCAGAATAAAGGAACATTTCAGAATACCTTTTAAAAGTGGCAGTGGATGTGTAGAGGTGTTGTCTAGTTGTAGGGAGATTTTATATGTATCCACTATATATATATATATATATATACACACACATACATACATACATACATACATATATATATATATAAATAAAAGACTGGTTTCCCCACAGCTCTGCCTTAATTTTAAATGCATGCTAACACATTTATTTTCTTGCATATTAACATGTCGGAATTCTTTCTCCAAGTTTTTAGGAGCAAAAATAAAACAAAGACCTGCTTTTGACAGCAAATGTTTTTCAAACAGAAATACTTTACCTGCTCGATAATTTGCCTCACAGTGTTCAAACGCACGACACCAGTTGATTTCTCTGAACCTGCATCTTTAGGTTCCGTCTCTAAAATGACAACAGGTTTTTTTTTTTCAGTTATGAAATGAGTGTTCAAAATACCATCCTCTCCTCCCCCAACATTCAATGCTGAAGAGCCAAACTGCTGAAGAAAGAGGAATGAATGACTTACTGGCAATTTGATACAGATCAGGTAAGTCGTTTGACAGCTTTTCCATTGCTAGATCCGCTATGGGACCAAATATCACCACAGGTCTCTTAAAACCAGCTGAAAAAAGAAATATATTTAGAGGGAAGATCTTTACATATAAAAATCACATGGAAACAAACATGCAAAAAAGGCTCAATTTAATGTTTAAGATTAATATACAGGAAGTATCTGGGGTAAGCTCCACATTATGTATTTTACACACATACACATAGCTCCCTTTCTATCTTTTGGTTCCCCGTGATTCATGCAGGACCCTTCATAATGTGAAAACCTCCTGTATGACTTGAGGGACAACATTCCCGCCCATCCTGGCTAATAGCCATTGATGGACCTATCTTCTATGAATTTATCTAACTCTTTTTTGAACCTTGTCAAAGTCCTGGTCTTCACAATATCTGGCAAGGAGTTCCACAGGTTGACAGTACGATATGTGAAGAAATACTTCCTTTTGTTTGTTTTAAACCTGCTGCCTATTACATTTCATTTGGTGATCCCAGTTCTTGTATTCTGGGAACAAGTAAATAACTTTATCTATTCTAGTCGTTATTTTATAGACCTCTATTCTTATCCCCCTTTAGTCCTCTCTTTTCCAAGCTGAAAATATGGAAACTATGTTAAAAGCAATAGGATTGCACCAGTAACTGAGTGTTGTATTTGCCCTAAAGAATCATTATTACTGGTGTCAATGAATGAGCCAGTAAGAACCCAGCTAGACTTCCACATCCCAGGTTATGTTTTCAAGGCTGGCCATAAAAATACCCAAAACATAACCCATATTTTTTCTTCTGAAGTGAACAAATTTGATCTAGAAGCAAAGATATGACAAAAATGGACTTCCAAAACACAGTGCTTTGAGTGGCACTTTTTAGAACAGAGAACATTCTATTCAGAAGTTTGCATTGTGACTTGGAGAATAGCATGTTATCATTTTCTGTTATACTTTAAATTTGGCCTAGAGTCCAGGGTGTGTCGTGCTACTTATTATGTTGTCACATAAATGACAGTAATATTTGAGCAATAACAGGTAGCTATGAATAGGTGCTCCGTTCTGCAAACTTTCACCCACCTTCTCGCAGCAGAACTCGCTCGTAGGCTGGGAACTTTGTGCTAACAGACGCAATTGCAGTGAGATCTTCACGACTCTTTCTCAGATTCTTTTTCACTGCAGATCGTTGCCCACGCATTCTCCAGAAATCTGCCCTGTCACTTGAGCCATCTCTTTGGGAATTCTGAACACTGGCCATCTGCTCAGCTCTGAAAGAAACACCGGGGAATCAATTTGAAACATGTAATAAAAGGAAAACATGCCACTCTAAAAGAAGAACCTCAGCAGAATACAAGATATGAATTTGTATCTACAGTGGACAACTTGGAAGGTGAGCAATCGTGGTAGGGCATCCAGGGACTCTTGCTCTGAAGAAGGCAGAGATGCTCTGACTTGCCCCAGCTTGAAGGTTTGTTGTGCACGAATCAATCCATTGGCTGCTAAGTCAACTGAAAAACGTAATGTATGCCAAGGAGCTGCTCAAGGAACAGGCAGTGTAGATGGAAATGGAAAGTGAGGAAATAATACATCATGAGGAACAAATTGCCTAATGACCAGTTCCAGTTCTCCATTATCTCTTCCTCAGACACCTCAAATTGAGTCCAGAAAGCCCCCTTGCTCAGATCACTATAAGTAGTAGTAGACTAAAATGCACTACATAGGAAAGGCAAATCAAGCAGGACATCCCATGACTTTGCAGTATAACTTCCATAACTTTAGGAACTTTTGTACAGGAGAATTGAGGGTTTTTTTTAAAAAATAAAACTGACTATATTGAAAGACATATCACTTAGATATAACTTTACTGCACTCTTAAATTCTTCATAAAACCACACCACATAACAAAGCACTTTTAAAAAAAATCTGAATTAACTTGGGTTTGTGAAAACAATTTTTTTTGGGGGTGCTAAAAGTCCTACAATAGTTCAGTCACCCTTAGAACTTCAAATAATACAATTAAAACAGTCTACACACTAAAACACTTTCCCTAAGAACATGCAGCATACAAAGAAGTATTAGAGGCTTTTTCTGCAGCCCTCATCACTGTAATACCTGAGTGGCTTTCATACTAGGGATGTAGAATTCCATTAAAATGTTATCCGGTTAAACTGTATGTTTAACTGGTTAACTAGTCCACTGTGATATGAGCAGGGGCAGCTGCTAGAGTGGCATGGCAGGCATGGCCGGGTGGGGCCCACTGTACCACGTCACAGGTGGCAGCTGCTCCAGCTGGGTGGGATATTGGTTACCCCTTTATATCCCTATCTCATGTGCTAATTAATTATCTTGCTCTCCCCTTTAATTTCAGGTTGAAATGTATTAATTCCCATTTTTCAGATGGCGAACTAAAGTATGGCGAAAGATCTCACAGGAAGTCTACAGGAGAGCTGGGATTAGAGATCCAGATCTCACAAGTCTGTGCTCTAGATATTCCCTGCAATGCCATCTTTGCTTAGCTATTACTGACCAGTTCCATCGTTTAAAAGTGAATTGAGCATGCACTACTGTTATGAATGGGATTGCTTGAAAGAGACAATTATAGAATACTAGAACTGGAAGGGACTTTAAGGGGCCATCAAGTCCAGTCTCCTGCCCTCACAGCTGGACCAACCACCATACTGATCATCACTGACAGGCGTTTATCTAGTCTGCTCTTAAATATCTCTAATGACAGCCTCCCTAGACAATGTATTCCAGTGTTTAACCACCCTGACAGTTAGGAAGTTTTTCCTAATGTCATTGTGGCCACGTTCTTTCCCCTCTTTCCTCTCCCAAATGGGTTATATAAATGGTTAATGAGGTGATACTAAAAAGTGAGTTGGGTAAAAAAACCCTCATTTTAAATTTTGGATCAGAGGGTGAGAAATCAGTGTACCTGCTTTTATTTGGAATGATGCCCTTTTCCAGTTCATTTCCAATTCTCACCGCCAGCCAGTTACCAAGTTTGCCATCGTACAGTGTATCAACTACTCGGAAGATCTCCCCTCTGGTGAATGCCAAACTCTGTGGAGATTCCTTCTCACATTCAAAATGACTCCTTATGAAAAATGAATCCCCTCTGCCACAAGCCATTATGTCTCTATACACTGAAAGACAAGATATCATACAGTTGAACTTGATTGCTAAATAGTGATCCCATACCACCAATAGCCTTCTATAGCAGAACAAGGTATTTTACTCACCTGCACTTCAAGCCTAGTATCTTAAATACTTTAAGGTTAGTGAAGAAGAAATTAAACTGTTATTCTAACCACCTCTGTGCAATTTCTCCCCTTCACCGTAAGGGTGGGAAAGAAAAGGTGGACTGTTCCCTGTGCCAACCCATCCTTGTATTCCTTAAAAGCTCTTCCACCCCCACCCCTCCTTCCATCTGGTTCGCTCTGGAACTTGCCAACATGGTTACTTTAGTCAGTCAATGGAAGTGAGGGATGCACTGCAGTACAGACACAAAACTGTTTTCCCTGCCTCAGGGTCTTTGTCTGCAGAATTCCCAACCATTAACAGCACAGGGAACTTATTTTGAACTGAGATTCCTCGTGCAGTCCTGCCAGCTCTCTCTCTCCTGCACACACTCCACATATATAGTAGATGAAGGCAATTAAGTAGTATTTTCAAAAGTGAGCATGAGAAAGATCAATAATATTGTCCCCAGCAAAACACAGCTGAGTTGAAGGGCCCACTGTTCTTTTCAGTGCCCATCAGTGAATCATAACAAAACATTGTCATACCTTTGGTGCCAGGGACCTACCGTCATATTTGCTCTGAGCCAAAATGGTCACAATTTCACCCTTGGGAATTTCTAATAGGTAGAGAACAGCATCCTCCCGGACAATGCCTCTAAAATCCTGTGTATTTACCTAAAGCAAAAGAAAAGATTTAAGGAAAAGTTAGTCTAATACAGGCAGTCCCCGGGTTACGTACAAGATAGGGACTATAGGTTTGTTCTTAAGTTGAATTTGTACGTAACTCGGAACTGGCTCCAGATTCAGCCGCTGCTGCTGAAACTGACCAGGGGCTGACTACAGGAAGCCCGGAGGCAGAGTTGCTTTGCCCCCAGCTTCCTGGAATCAGCCACTGATCAATTTCAACAGCGGCTGAATCTGGAGCCTGGGACAGAACAGCTGGGGCGCTGCCGGGTAGGTCCCCCCAGGACCAACCCGGCACCACCCCAGCTGCTCTACCCCAGGTGTCCACAACAAAAGCCTGGTCTGCTGGGGGGGGGGCGCACTAGTTGCGCCCCCCTCCCCCCCCCCCCCCCCACCGG